GGGGGCAGCCAAATCAGTCCATCGCACTGTGTCTGCTGCTGGTGCCAAAGAGTGATTGACCAGCTGCTGCCCATTCACGGATCGCCATCTCTTTCTTTCTTCCTTTTTTTATCCTCAAAAAGTTCCCTCGCAGTTCCAGAGTCCAGGTAACAGATTGATGCCGTTGCCGCAGCTTCTGCTGCCGCTGCTGCACTTTCTATTTTAACAAATCGAGCTTACTCATTCAGCCTTTCTCTCTTTGCAGCACCACCACCGCTGTCAACAATAGAATTGTCGTCTACTGGCATTGAGCACGGCTGTGTCGCATTGCTGCTGATTCCTCACTCCTCTTTTTCACGCCTCGTCTTTGAGAGACCTACACACCCACCCACCCACAAATAGAATGGTGAACATGGCGTCGTCGAAGAACGGGGTCGAGGCTCCCAAGTATGGCGGCTGCGTCGGCCCGGAGGCAATGTACGTCAAGCTGATCAGCTCTGACAATCACGAGTTCATCATCAAGCGCGAACATGCGCTCACTTCGGGCACCATCAAGGCTATGCTCAGCGGTCCGGGTAAGTGTTTTGGGGATATTTTCAAGCGGTAAACCAGTTACTAACTGCGACTTTTGCAGGACAATTTGCGGAGAATGAGACGAACGAGGTGAACTTTCGCGAAATTCCCTCGCACATTCTGATGAAGGTCTGCCAGTACTTTACCTACAAAGTAAAGTACACCAACAGCACCACCGAGATTCCCGAGTTTCCTATTGACCCTGAAGTGGCACTTGAACTTTTAATGGCGGCTAACTTTCTCGACTGCTAAAACTGCAGACCGGACGACTTCTGGAGGAAACACACAAACTCCTAGGCACAGAATTATTAAGCTTTTTCAACTATGTAAATAATAAGAGTTAACAGCGACGGTAAATCATGTCAACTTTTGCTGATTCAAAAAACGATCATCGATTTCACCAAACTTACGAACTAAATAAACAAAATGATCGATTGAATTAAACACCGTTTATTCGTCCTTTACAAAACACTTGAAACACACTTTAAAATAGAGGCTCGGGGAACTCAAATGTTACTTCCCGTCCGGTGATCTTCTTGTAGACGGCAGAGAAGGTGTCAATCTTATGCTCGATCTGGGTCTGCGAAGACTTGTCGAGGTGCACCTTGATGAGACGGCTGCCGCCCAGGCGAATGCGAGTGCGCTTGCCGACGATCTCCGCTGGGTAGACGAGGTCCTCGAGGATGTTGTCGTACACAGCGGTCAGAGTGCGGCTGAAAAGTTAAGGAAGTTGGGATTAGTACACAAAGCTGGCGCAGACAAAAGTAACTGTGTTTACCTGCGGGGTCGCTTCTGCTTGGACTTGGTGCGCAGCTTTCGCGTCGGCTTCTGCAAGATGGTTCGCTTGGCAATGATGACGACGTGCTTGCCGCTGAACTTCTTCTCCAGCTCGCGCACGACGCGGTTCTGGATCTTTTGGAAGGCCTTCAACTGCGGCACGGGCACGTTGATGATGATGGCCTTCTTGCCGGCCACGTCGATCTCCTTGGCGCCGGCGATGTAGAGCTCGCGCAGTTGCGCCTTCAGATCGCTGTTCATCTCAAGGTCAAGAAGGGCCTGGGTGGTGGGGGCGGAGGGGAGGGTGAAAAAGGGTGATAACCGGGTTAGTCATCATCAGACTCCATTTGCTTGCCACTCTGCAGGGCTTAAATGGCTGGCCATGCACTTATTTAGGCACTGCTACCCGACTTACCTGGGCGATGGAGGCCTCGAACTCGTCGACCTTCTCATTTTCGGGCTTGAGGATCTTGTATTTGTGTGCCATGATGCTTGGCGGGGCGTGTTTTGGTTCGCAGGTGTAAAATACACGATACACGGCAGACGGCACACGCGGAGAAAAGGAAGTTAGTGGAAGGCGATTGTTGAGAGCAGAGCCGATTCACATGTGCCTATCGATGCATCGCCACCATCGAGAGAGAGGGCGCGCGAGGGCGATTCGAGGAATTTGAATTCGGGTGAATTTGACCGGGATTTTAGTAAAAGTCCGGCACTCTCTACTTTTCCGACGCTTATTCTTAGTAGAAAAATTTAGTCTTTTTATCTAGAGCAAGCTTCTTTACCTAAACGGGACCTTGTCTAGCAAACCCAGGCGGTGCAAAATTAAAAAGCAGACTAAGGCTGTTGCAATTTTGCAAAATTACCGCTTATTCAGCAGAGAATCGTCAGCCCCAAAATTGTCTTATCTTCCTTCTACTGTATCTTGCCTTTTTAATCCAAAAAACAGTACAATTTCAGGCAAATGACGCCCAAAACCGGGCAATGTTTACCTCTGGTCCTTGAAAGTGCAATCGCTGGTCGTTTCGACAGCGGCCGCCGCCTTGGGTGGCAGTAGCGCTGCAGAAGAGATTTTGGTTGGCTCGGGCGACTGTGTGTGTATTTCACAGACTGGTGCAGCTCTCACATCTGGCTCTCTCTGTCGCTCTCCTCTGGTGCAGAGAGTCCACCTCAACTGTCAAATCTCGGCCCCGAGACGCTCCATGGTGCAGGCGACCTCCATGCTCTAGCCACTAGTCCCCAGCTGATGAAGGTGCCAAAGTGGTCAGCAGATGAAGATGATGATCTTGATCACCTCCTCCTCCTCCTCCCACCGAGCTCTACTACTATGTGATGATCAAGTGCAGCTCTAATCAGTGCATCTGTGGTGCGCCAGCATTTGCCTCATCGTCTGCGGNGATGATGATCTTGATCACCTCCTCCTCCTCCTCCCACCGAGCTCTACTACTATGTGATGATCAAGTGCAGCTCTAATCAGTGCATCTGTGGTGCGCCAGCATTTGCCTCATCGTCTGCGGAATTTACCGTTAATCATCACCCTCATCACCCTCATCAGCAGCAGCACCACCACTCCCTCCACCTCTTGTCATCAGCATGGCCAAGTGCAAGTACATCAAGCGACTGTTCCCCGCCACACTGGCCTGGACACTGCTCGTCTCGACGACGGCTATATTTTTCCTATTTCCGTAAGTGTCACCTTGTTCTCACCGTGTCCCCATTCCAAGCGTTTCACACCGTTCTTCTGTCATTGCACTTCCTCCTCCAGCTGTCGGCGTTTGCATGAAGAATTTCACTACTCAATCACTGTAGTACAAGCCATAATCACCTTTTTTGTAATATCGAACTTCTTTTGCACAACCTTTTTCGACCCCGGAATCATTAAGCGGGGTATGTTTGCGGTGTTCATAGTATTGCACGCTCTTTACTATACCAAACCATCTTCTTTTGCCACCGAATCTCCGGTGTCTCTACAGCGCTTCCTGATGAGGATGTTGACGACTTTGGATCTCCGCTGTTCAAAGAAGTTATAGTCAGAGGCACACCAATTCGCATGAAGTGGTGTGCGACGTGCCAATTCTACAGGCCACCAAGGTGTTCACACTGTTCGGTGTGCGATAACTGCATTGAGGTAGGATGGTGATGATGTTATGTGTTTTGAACAGTAATGGTCTGACTGGACACTTTCCCCCTCTCTCCTTCTCTCCGAACAGACCTTCGATCATCATTGGTGAGGAGTGATTAGCTTTAGATTAATTGGTAATTTCTTGTACTGACCTTAAACAACCACATACACATTTGCAGTCCCTGGGTGAACAATTGCATCGGTCGTCGTAACTACCGTCATTTTTTCTTTTTTCTCATTTTCCTCACCATCCACATGATCACAATTTTCATCTGGTGTCTCATGCTAGTGCTAAATAACAAGAATAAAATGCATGAAACGCCTGTCGTTGTAGCGTAAGTGTTTGCTTGCCCATTTGTGGCTGAACCTTAACTCATCATCCTTTTCCCGTTTAGTATTTCACTCATGGTTTTTATAAGCGTAGTATTTATTCCAATTTTTGGCCTGACCGTCTTTCACATTATTTTGGTGGCTCGTGGTCGGACGACAAATGAACAAGTATGAGAGTTGTTGTTGGTTGTCTATCTCTTGCATGCCTAAGCCATTCCACTTTTGCAGGTAACTGGTAAATTTGACGGTACAATCAATCCCTTTTCAAGGGGCATTTTCCTCAACTGTCTGTACACGCTTTGCGGACCGAGGTTTCCCGGGTAATTTGCTTTAGTTATCCTACTTTTGAAATGCTTTGTAAACTAACCGAACCTTGCAGTGTCCGAAAAAGCGTCCCACAGAAGGACGTCTTTGACGTCAATGAGCCGGGCATTGGTGCAACGGTCTACATGGACAATATTCCAATGGACGTGCAAAACAAGCACACTCAACGGACTGACGTAAGAAGGCCTCTTTTCAAAACAAAGTGTGCAAGTAAACTCTCAACTTTTTATTTCAATTTTAGCTCAACGACATAATGCTAGAGCGACTGGATCGCGCCCAGGACAGCAACTCGATGAACGCCTCTCACTCTCGTGAGCAGCTGAGCAGACAGCTGTCCTCGCCGAAGAGATGCCAGGAGATGCCCAACTTTCCGAATGACATTGAAGCGGCGGTGGCCGTCAATGGGACGTCGACAACAAAGAGCGGCCGAGCGGATCAAGGCGGCCGGCACGTGGTCACCATGCAGCAGACGGAAAAGTAATAACAACAACACTTTGGATGCATTATTTATGACTTTTATTGCCTTGTTTTGTGTAGTGGCACAAAGGAGACCACCTTCATTGCGCTCAGCTCCTCGTCGTACAATACCTCGGTGAAGGCGGCCTACTCGAACTCCACGTCGAATGGAAACGGCACCACCACCTACAGCAGCAGCAGCAGCAATCCAGCAATGTCCCGGCAGAACACCGTCGACAGTGGCCGTCCGGGTGGCCTCTTCACCTACCACCCGAACAACAAGATATCCGCCTCGCCGGCGAAGAGCACCTCCATCAATGAGATATCATCGCACGCCTTCAAGCGCAGCCCCGTGAAGCGCCACGAATCTCAGCAGGGGCCCGAGGGCGGCATGGTCATCTACTACTCACCGGATGCGGGCGTCATCTCCAACTCTAAGTACAGCAGCGAGTCGGAGCTGCAGAAGTATGGCAGCGGCAGTTTGCAGGACACGCCCTTGGGGCGCCACCAGCAGCAGCAGCAGCACCACAACCACCACATGGTAGTACAACACCAGAACAACCACCACAGCCACCCAGTGACGGCGGTGTACGGGGAGACGACAATGACCACCACTACGACGGCCACCACTCCCACCGCCTCCTCCCCGCCGCACCATCTTCACTTCAACAGCAACAACTACGAGCCCTCATCGAAGGCCCTCCTCAAGCAGCGACCGCTGCCCTTCCTCAAGGCGCTGGAGATGTCAAACAAGATGGAGAAGGGTAACAGTGCTGGTGGCGGAGGTGGTTTATTTGCAGAGCCGAACAACAGTAAGCAACAGCAGCAACCGAACACGACGACACTGGTGGTGGCGGCGGCTAAGGACTCGGCGGCGACAGAGGCGGCCAACAATCGCCAGAGTACGTACGAGATGAATTACGAGATTTCAGTTTGAAGAGGGGAAGGGACCGGGTGTGTGTGTGTGTGCATGGCATGCGAATGTCAAAGGTGTGTGCTAGTTTCGTCGTCACAAAAAAGGTGCGTGTTTAGCGCTCGATAATCTAATTTAACGAAACGAAATGGGAAAAGGAGGAGAAAAGGAAAAGAGAAAAGAAAAGAAAACGTAAATAAATATAATGAACTGAAACTGGTGACTTTGTAAATCTTTTGTTTGTAAATAAAAACGATGAATGTGATGCGATGGATAATGATGATGATGAATGATGATGGATCAGATGTCATCAAACAGATTTTTGTTTACCCCGTAAGTCTTCTCCTCGGGCGTGGAGGCCGATGTAGGACTGCCGGCGGTGAGCAGCTGCTCCTGACTGGTCTGACGAGTGAAAGGGCTGGGACCATGGCCGCCGCTGCCAAATGTCGTCGGCCTGGCGGCATTGATGGAGACGACCTGGTGGACGCCGCCACCTCCACCACCGCCACCACCTCCTCGGCTGATCTTCTGACTCTCCCGCTTGACCAGGTTCTGCCCCTGGAGGACCAGGTCCTGGGTGATCTCGTCGCTGATGGAGAACTGCTCAATGCCAAAGTAGTGCACCACCTTGACGCCCAGCTTGAAGAAGGTGGCCACGCAGAAGAGGCTCATCAGCACCGGCAGGTAGATGAAGAGGTGGTCGCCGATGAAGCTGATCGTGTCCATGTGGCCCATGATCTGCGTGAAGGCCGTCTCCTGAATCTCGCCCGACTGCTTGGTGATGTGCGAGTCGAGGTGGATCATGCTGAGAAAGTTCAGACAGAGCGGCGCTGCTAGACGACAGAGTAGCCTGCAGGGAGAAGAAGGGATTGTAAAAGCTGTTTTTCAAAGCCAAACACTTACATTCCGCAGAAGATTAGACTGTACTCATCCGTTTGGTGGTGTCGCGCCAGGTAGTAGTAGTTGAATATGCGAATCTTGAAGATGGTGTAGTAGCAACACGTGCACAGGTAGGCAATGGACGCCATGGAGAAGACCTCAATCCAGAGGTAGTTGTAGCGGAGCAGGCGGACCACCAGTGAGAACAGACTGACGGGAATGACCTGAATGAAGAAGGTAAACTCGGACCAGACGATCATCACCGAGAAGAGCGCCAGTGTCCAGCCGGTGAGGAAGGAGATGACGCGCACGATGAGCGGCTTCTGCCGGAGGAGCACCTCAAACTTGGGCACTCGCTGACGGAGCCACACCTCGAGGGGTGACAGGCGGACGGTGTCGCTCTCAAAGGCCTCCTTCAGCTGGATGCCCTCCTGGATGAGCATCGTGTACTGCACCTTGGTCCGGTGACTCGTCTGCACGGCCTGCTTTATTTTGGCATTCAGTTTGATCAGGTTCTTCTCGGTAAGCTTCGCTTCAATCTCCTGCTGACTAGAGCTGCTGTTCACCGAGCGGCCGTGGCGGTTGATGAACTCATTTTGGAAAGACTCGGGACACTTGCGCAGGATCTTCTCCAGGTGGCCGCTGAAGACGTGGCCCCGGTCAGAGGCGTAGATGTACAGGGCGCGAATCTCATCGAGTAGATCGTCCAAGTTGCCGTCCGCCTCGCACTTCTCACCATTAGTTTTGGCAATTTTAAAGTACAGGTAGTCGAGCTTGTACTTGTAGTTTTGTGTGCTGCTTAGAAACGTTCGTGGAATCTCCACCAGTCCGTAGCCCATGAGAACGGTCAGCAGGAAGAGGCCGAAAGTGTTGGACGCTGAGGTGCAGAAGACTTTCAGTCCTTCAAAGGACATTGACTCTCTTGATGCGTAGTAGATTAGAAAAATGATGAATAGGACACCGAAGAAGCAGTAATACTTGATATTTTCAATGAACGATGACTTGATTTTGCGAAATGTCGTGAATTCGCCTGACATTGAGTACGACTGGAAGATGGGTAGTAGGATCCAGGTCAGCACCTGCGATGACCAGTAGATAAACTGCCAGAGCGTGAGGAGCACGTTCTTGGGAACGTAACTCCAGGGCTTCTTGCAGACATCCTCCACTGGTGTAACATCTGGAGCTGAAGTGGTAGTTGTTGTTGTAGTCGTTGTTGTTGTTAGGTTACCGGCTGTGGTACTGTTTGAAAGTGCAACCAACAAAGACGCACTAAAAGGCTGGCTGTGGTTTTGATTTGCCGCCGCAGCCGCATCTACGATACACTGATTGTAAATAGTCTAACGAGAAAAAGAAGAAAAAAATTAGCAAAAGCAAATATACAGCAACTGGCGACGCACCGAGGTCACATCCAGCGGCAGCACAAAGACGACGTTGAAGGAGAAGAACCAGGCAATGAAGACCGATGTGGTAATCCAGACGTTGTGCTTGCCCAGGTTGCCGTACCGATTGAGCAGGTACAGGGAGAGCACAAAGTTGAGGACAATCACCAGAATGAGCGGCGTGGAGGCCATGGTGGTCGTGGTGGTGGTAGTGGTTCTCGAGGCTGCTCACGGCATGGCAAGCAAACTGTTTGTTCAGTATGGTCTGCTGCTTACTGGTATCTGCTGGCAGGTGGACAATCTGCTTAGTGGTAAGGGAAGAAATCGCTGGTCATCGGCGTCAGGTGAGGACCGTCATATCATTCTCGCCACCACCACCACCACCAAAATCGTCAACATCATCAGCAACATTTGCAGGCAGTGCAAAAACAACACAAAAATCCCCACCGCCCCCGCTCTGGCACACTGCCCACTGCCCCCGCCGCCTTCACTGCGCGTAGTAACGTAATTTGTGAAGTAGAATGGGGAGCGAAATTGCAACTTTCGCTTTGAGAGCCCAATGTGTCAACGAAATGCCGTGCATTTCACGCCGCTGCTGCTGCTTTGCTCTCTTGGCGCCTTTTCCAATCAACCGTAGACAAAACTTGCGTCATCGGCGTTTCTTCTTCGGCATCAAGTGCTGTCAGCAAGGCACCGCAACGACAACCACAACGACAACCACAACGACAACAGCAACAACATGGACCGAGCCAGCACCAGCGCCGGCACTGAGGTCTCCCAGGTGGATCGCTCCAAGCTGCACAAGTACAAGCGTGGCTCCATTCTTCGCATTCATCTAACCAACTTTATGTAAGTTTCGGTTGCTGACTGTTTATTGACGATGACCGATCATTGTCTCTGATGCATTTTCAGGATTTACGAGAACATCACCTTTACACCGGGGCCCTTTCTCAACCTCATCCTGGGACCGAATGGATCTGGCAAGTCGGCTTTCGTTTGCTCCATCATCATGGGCTGCGGTGGCGATCCAGCCGTTACCGGCCGCTCGAGTAGCCTGAGTAAGTTTCTTATCACTATCTTCTTCTTTACTTCATTTTCACTCACTTTCTACCTCGCCTCAGTCGATTACATCCGTTATGGCAGTCAAACGGCTTCGATTGTCATCGAGTTTTACTCTGGAGATGTCAACGAGGAAAACATCATCATTGAGCGTCAACTTCGCAGTGTTCAAAAGAATGGCAAAACGGAGTGCCAAAGCAGTTGGAAGTTGAATGGCCGAACTGCGCAGCGAAAGGATGTCCTCGACTTCATCACCAGTCTGCACGTCGAGATCAACAACTTGTGCCAGGTGCTACCACAGGAGCGAGTGGTCGAGTTTTCCAAACTTTCACCTAAAGAGCTTCTTGTTTCGACTGAAAAGTCCATCGGCGATTCCAATCTGTACTCAAATCACATGCGTTTGATAACTCTCAGTAATGAAGCGGCTGATCTGGCAGTCAAAATTAAGAACTGTCACGGCTTCATTATGAAGTTCAACAACCACAAGACCACCATTGAGCCTGACATGAAGCTGCTTAAACAGAGGAAGAAGTTTGAGAGAGAAATCGGTTGGCTGGAGAAGAAGAAAATTTATCTCCAGTTTCAAGCGAAACATGAGCAGTACGAGGAAATTAGGAAAACTTTTTACCAGAAGAAAAAAGAGTTTGAAACTGCTACTAATCGTCTGAAGCCAGTTAAAAAGCGCATTGAAAATTGTATTGCTCTTTCTGGTAAACTGCATAGTAAGTTCTTGTGTTTTTATGCGGTTGCATACATTTACTAAATTACTGACACTTCCCTTTGTAGGCAGAAAGTCCAAATCAGCTGCTTTCATGAAACTATCAAGTGATAAAGTTAGTAAGTGTACCAAAATCATCAGCGACATTGATCGTGCAATTGCCAAAGAGATTGATGACTATAACGAAATTGAGAACAACAAAAAGAAAAATAAAGAGAAGCTGGCAAAGTTGGAGATCAACAAGCGCAACTTTGAAAGTGAGCTGCAAATGGCCGACGACGACACTCAAGAGTCTCACTTTGAAGAAAAGTTGAAAGAGATCGACGAGGAAATTAGGAAAATCGAGTGGGAGCTTCAACAAGTAGAGTAAGTGGTCCTTGTTGTGTAGCGTTGTTTAGCGCCATAAACAATCTTCGTTCAACCAAACCCATTCACCTTTTTTGCAGAACCAAAACAGACGGCCAAAAGCACCGACTGGGGCAGTTGCAGCATGAGAAGGAGCGCTGTGAACGACAGAAGCGTCAACTGGGCGACCTGTTCAACCTGCGCCTGCAGAAGATAGTCCACCATGAGAAGGACAACTCGACGCAGAAGGCCTGTCAGTGGCTGGAGAACAATGCGGGCGCTTTCAGCGGCGCCGTCTACCCGCCGGTGATCACCCACATCAACGTGAGCCGACCCGAGTACGTGAAGTACGTCGAGATGGCCATCGGCGGCATCGACCTGAGCACCTTTCTCTTCGAGAATCGCGAGGACCTGCAGCTGTTCTGCGAGAAGCTCGAGGCCGACTGCCAGGTGCGCGTCAACGTGGCCATGCTGCCCCGTGACATGACCATTGAGGACTGCGCCCGGGACTTTAGCCTCGACCGCTACCGGCAGTTTGGCATCTTCGCCTCGGTCCGCGATCTCTTCACTGCGCCTGATCCGGTGATGATCTACCTCTGCAAGTCGTACCACCTCCACCGAATTCCCGTCGGTAAGTGTGTAACCCTTTTGAAAGGGAGGTATCTGTTTTTGTTTCACACATGCTGTTGCTGCTCACACTAGGAAACCACGAGACGGAGAACCAAATTCAGGAGCTGATGGATCATTCGGACTTTCGACGGATTTTCACCTCGCAAAGCATGTACATCATCGTCGTGTCGCGCTATGACAACGCCAAGACCACTAAGATTAACGCGCTTCGACAGGAGCGATTCCTCAATGTGATTATCAACCAGGCGGAGATGGATCAAGTGAACTCGAAGCTGTCTGAGTTTGCCAAGGAGATGCACTTTCTGGAGAATCAAATTGAAGAGGACAAGTTGAAGATTGAGAAGATTACTGAAACGCGACGGATGAAGCGCGATGTCAGGTCGACATTCGAAAATAGAAAAACGGCTATTGAGCTGATGAAGCGGCGTCTCGAGTCGGTAGTTGCGCAGATTGAGGATACCAAACAGCGCCTCTCGGAAATGGATGACAGCAAGGGCCAAGTGACCGCCAAGCTGGACTCCTTTCACAAGCAACAGATGAAGACGATGGCCGAACTTTCTGACATTGTGAAGGCCTGCGTTGAGCACACCAAGGCGGAGGCGGTTTTTACCGCGAAAATTAACTTTATCAAGAAAGTCCGCGCTACATGTAAGTTCTCCCGTTTTTTATCAAGTGATTTGGCGTTGATTTGCTAGTAACATCTCTCAATTTTGCTTGCAGACACTTCACAAAAGGCCGAACTAGAAGAGGAGACAAAGTACCTGCAGAGTCAGCTGCTGGAGCTTTCGGCGGAAGTTAAAAAGGTGCGAGACGCTGTGAAGAAGGCGAATGAAGAGGTAACAGCTGCCTGCGGAGCTGATGTCACCGACCCCGTGAAAGGCCCAGATATCTTGGAGAAGTTTGCCACTCTGCCGAATGATGAGGAGGAAATTGAGAATGTCGAGTCGGTGCTACGCCTGCGATGCCAGGGCATCGCCAACATTGACGAGTCCATCCTGGAGGAGTACCAGAAGTACCAGCGCGACATTGCCATCAAGAACGAGGAGCTGGCCAAGCTGGAGGCGGATGCGGCCAATGTGGAGAAGGAGATTCAGACCATTCGGCCGCGTTGGGTGAACGCCCTCAAGGATCTCATCGGAAAGATTGACAACAACTTTGGCGAATTTATGCAGACCATGCAGTACTCGGGCGAGGTGTACCTCTACGAGGGAGAGAAAGAGGTTTGTCTGCTTTTGTTGTTCTTTATTTTTCCCAATCACTAACGAGCCTTTTTT